GTTCACTGAACTAAATACTCTTGAACTAAATACAAATTTGTATTTAGTTATCGATGTTCACTGAACTAAATACAAACTTATATTTTAGCTTCAATATAAGTTATCGATGTTCACTGAACTAAATACAAATTTAGTTTAAGTAAAAGTCATGTTTTACGTACTCTTGAATTAAATTGGAAATCACAAATTTAGTTGTTTTTTGCAGGGAGTTGATAAACCTATGTGACTAGACACTGGAATAATGAATATGACGGGATGAATCTGATTTCACTTCAGTGAATCTCGATTCACTGAAATGAATCTACTTCAGTGAACTCGATTCACATCATTGAATCGAGATTCACTATAGTGAATCCCCGTTCATCCATGCCATCCACGTGCAAACACAAGTCTTCTGAAGTCTAATGAAGAGAACCTATCCTATTGGATCCGTTGTTTCACTTAAGATTCATTGTACATTAATTTTATTGAATATCGATTTATATTGTTTATCTGTAACTCTAAAATAGTTGATTTATGTTTGCCCACTATCTGGATTTACCTGTACAGATGTAACATTATAATATTCAATCTTGATTAAATCTCAATTCAGTTTTTGATTCATCAATGGTGAATCTATGTTCATTGATATAATCATTCTTATTTATTTTTAGATTTAGGCAGCTAAGATGTAAACTCAAGTCATTTCCGTATCGTATTTGGTAAAAAATTTAAAAATTGTATTGGATAGTTGTGAAACCTTGAAAGGCTATAACTTTGTGTACCAGCGTCGTATTGAGACGATAATTCAAAAAATACCTCTATCATGCAAAATGGAGGATAATTTGGTTTATTTGGTTTTAGTCAAACTGAATCACAAATTTGACTTCACCGTAAAGATACAAACAAGATAGCGTCATGTTGAGGTTACAGTTATTCAAAATAACTCATAAATTGTCGACAGAATCGAGATCCATCGTTATGAATTTAGATTCAACTAGTTATATTAGAATAAGAGTTGAACAGGATAATCCATAAATATACAAACTAAAATAACTATTGTATTAATCAACAGTTAACGACAAACTTAGATTTGGTAACACTGTTTAAAGATATAGTAACTAATCATCAATTTTTTCTCAGTTTTGAACCCTTTCTTGATCCTTGTTTGACACTAACAAATTCATTGAATCTAGATTCACTGAAGTAGTGAATCGAGATTCACTAAAGATTCACTGAAGTGAATCTCGATTTACTTCACTTCAAATAGTCACTGATGCGAAAGAAACTTCATCCCTTCGTATTCATTGTTTCACAGGCATGTCTCTTCATAAAATAAGAGCAACAAACAACCAATGAATCCAGATTCACTGGAGCGAATCCAGATTCACTGGAGCGAATCCAGATTCACTGGAGCGAATCCAGATTCACTGGAGCGAATCCAATTTCACCCCAGCGAATCCAGTTTCACCCCAGCGAATCCAGTTTCACCCCAGCGAATCCAGTTTCACTCCAGTAGCAGCACAACAGCACAGCAGCAGCAACACAGCACAACAAGACCACCAACTTGTGAACAACAATTAAATAAATATTAACTCTAACTTGTGAACAATAATTAAATAAATATTAACTATATATGGCTCTCGATTTACTCCAATGAATCCAGATTCACTAGAGTGAATCAAGATTCACTGTAGTGAATCAAGATTCACTGTAGTGAATCAAGATTCACTGTAGTGAATCAAGATTCACTGTAGTGAATCAAGATTCACTGGACTGAAACTCGTTATCAAACAATAGCAAATCTGCAAAAATAAAAAACAAAAAGAATAAGAATCGTCGTGAACAAAAATAAACAAACAAGACAGGAATTTTTCTTTTTTTTAAGAGAAGATTTTGGCGGTCGAGGGGCTTCGTCGACGGCGTCGAGGGGCTTCGGCGACGACGTCGAGGGGTTTCGACCAGCTCGAAGCTGGTCGAGAACGACGTCGAGGGGCTTCGGCGTCGGCGTGGGCTCGTCGATGGTCTTCGACGGCGAGCTCGTCGAGGGTCGTCGGGGCGTCTGCGTAAGCTGGAGCGTCGGCGTGAGCTTGAGCGTAGGGGAAGAGAGAGAAATGGGGAAATGAAAGGACGGTTTAGAGAAATGTGTTCTTCATCATCTCCAGTTTCCAATGTTGCCAGCAACCATTGTAGTGAATCATTCCCATTTTACCCTTTTCACAATAAATTTTACAGCTGATGTGTATTAGATTTGTCTATATTTTCAATTTTGCCATCGAAATGTAGACCATTGGATTAGATAGATTGGATGGTTAGGATAGGTTTTTAGTTTTTAAGGTTTTCATTAGAACCTCTCCCTATATATATATATATATATAGAGAGAAGTTTTCGGATGCGAAAGAGTTTTCGCATCCCAGCTGTGCGAAAAAGAGATCCAGCCTTTCATTTTTGGTGAACTCCCCTGGCCGTTGGATTTGGGCCGCAATTCCCAAGAGAAGAAAATTCTCCTTCTCTCCCCAGAACCCAAGCTAGTCTCTCTTCCCAACTTGTGTGTGTGTGTGTGTGTGTGTGTGTGTGTATATATATATATATATATATATATATAAACCAATAAAATGTGTGTGTATATAATTGAGCTTAAAGTACCAACACACATAATATAAAGCTAAACTAATTTACCCAAGCTTTGAGCTCTTCTTGGTACACTTACGGATGAAGCTTGAACTTTGTTCTTCAACTTGAATTGTAAGGCTTCATACCACAATTCTTCCAACCTCCATTGGATATGATCGTGAATGCGCAATTCCATCTGTCCTCCAACATGTTGTTTGTCTACAATAAATAGATAAATACAAATACTAAACAAACAACATTAGTGGTAAATTGTTTGTTAAACATCATCAAAACAAAGAGGCCAACAAGTATCTCGTAAGTTTTAAAAATTACAAAAACACCCCTAAAAATTCAAAAATTGTAAAAAATACCATGAAAATTTTAAACCTATAAACACACTAAAAACCTACAAATAACACAAACAACCCCCTAAAAATTATGAAATTTGTAATAAACACTCTAAACTTTTTACAAATCTACACTACATATAAAAGAGGATTACCGTGTCAAAACTTTTTATTTCATTTTTACCCCTTTAATTTTTTTGAATATTATATTGTTATCGTAATTTGTTCTAATTATCCTATCTTCTTTGAATTGGTAATTAAATAATTTATCCTATTCATAATGAGACTTAACATGTTATTGGATAAAAGAGATACATTTGATATAATTCAAATCCTTTATTATTTCAGTTCATAGAGAACTCCAAAAAAACATATGCTAGCGAGCACCTAAATATTTTTGGACTTTGTATAAAAAATCCTCCAAGTTTTTTAAATTGCAAAAACACCCCTACAAATTCAAAATTTTATTAAAATATCTTAAAAATTATAAATTTTACTTATTTCAATTTAGTGAGAAATCTAAAAAATATGTGCTAGATAGAAACTGAAATTTTCTTGACTTTAGAAAAAGTATCTCGTAAGTTTTATTAATTGCAAAAATACCCCTACAAATTTAAAATTTGTAAAAAATACCATGAAATTTTAAACCTATAACACACTAAAACCTACAAATAACACAAACAACCCCTAAAAATTATAAAATTTGTAATAAACAATCTAAACTTTTTACAAATCTACACTACATATAAAAGAGGATTGCCGTGTCAAAACTTTTGATTTTCATATTTACCCCTTTAAATTTGATATTTCTCAAATATATCATTAATTGTAATTAATCATTCACTAATATATAACCTCTAATTAATTATACATTTCCTCACTTTTTTAAAACATTTGGTCACACTATTATTTTATTATTTAATTATGTTATTTACTAGAAAATTTGAAATTTATCCCTAATTTATCTTCACATAAAATTTAAAATTCTATAAAAATTAAAAATAATAAAAATTCATTAGGCTTATGCCTATAACTTTGGGTTTCACCTCATATGGAGGACTACCTGTTACCTTATATCTTATTACCCTTTCAAAAATATGATAACAATATGAAAATTAATTTGTATTTATTATAATTGTAATAGTATTAATAGTATAATAATTTTAATAGTATTTTTGAATTAATAAATTACACTGTAATTTAATAATTATACAATTAGTATTATTTATTAAATTAAAATATAGTTACTAATAGTATTATAATTATGACAAGTATAATATTATTTATTTAAAAGATAAAAAAATTATATTCATAATTTATTAAAATAATTATAATATATTATAAATTATAATAATTATCCAAACTATAACTGATCATACAATTATTTATATATAGTTTTATAATTTATTCATTTAAACAAAATTGTAATTGTTCAGAATTTATATTGCTATATAAGTCATTTTATTTTTTATGGCCAACAAAAAAAAAATTGAAAAGCATAAAATAAAGTAGGGATGCTCTCGTGCAAAGCACATGCACTATACTAGTTTATTAAAAAGTACTAGTGAACACTTGAATTCAAAATGTTATTATTTAAAAAACATTGGTGAAAAAAAAATCAAAGAGATAAAACAGAGTAAATCA